AAATTTATTATAATAAAATCCTTAAAAAGGTATTTGTTTCCTATGTTGATTACTCTGCAGATAAAATTACATTTGTCATTTTATGCTTTTTTTGAAAAAAGATAATATGCTTTAAAAAAATTGAGCCAGTAAATTAATTTCGCTTTCTGCCTCTGACTCTTCCTTTCCCTCCTCCTTCTCCTTCTAATTTTTATTCCTTAAAGTCTTCATTAAATTCATACACACCTGGTTATTTGCTCTTCAAGTTCTTTATTAAAAGTTACCATTAGTCAAGATAACCTTTAGTAGGTAGGTGCTACAATTGTCAGATTTATTGTTTCTTTCTCCATTAAATTGTTAGACTCATGTGGAAGATTTTACAGATCTTCTCCCAAAGTGTTGTTAAGGTTTTGCATCTGTTTCCTTGCTTGTCTTTGGTTTGCTTTAATTAAGATTACTTTTAACACTTAGTTTATTCTAAAATATTCACTTATCTTGTTTCTTAATTTTTCTAATCTTTTTGTCTATTTATGTTGAATCCCCATGATTTCAATAATCTGCAGCTATAAGTGAACTATATCTTGTTAGGATATATTTCTCCATAATTAGATATTTCATCATCAGTTCTATATAATTAATATAATATTATAAAAGTTCCTTGCACAGTTTTCCATTGTGCCTTTACATAATTTTGAGGAGCTTTTTTTCCCTTGATTTCCTTTCCTTCTCCTCTTCTCTACGTGCAGTGATCCTGCTGTGATGAGATGAAATTAGTGCTTGATGAGATTAGAGGTGTGTCTTTCATTTAAAATTCAGTTTGAAAATAAAGAGAGGTGTGACTGTTATTCAGCTCTTAAACTGCTCTTTTTATGTCTTCAGATGCTCTAAGACACAGGTTTTCAAAATAAAGTCTAGGAATTCCAGAAGGATCCCTGAGACCCTTTCAGAGGGTCTGTGAAGTCAAAACTATTTCATCATAATATGAAGACATTTCCCCTTACTTTTGAAAGAACAGTGGAATTTTCCAGAGGCTACATGATGTATGATTTTAAATGGACAGTGCAGAAGCAAATATGCAAATCCAGCTGTCTTCTATTACACCAGAAATTAAAGAAATCTGCACAACTTTAAAACAATAGCACGCTACTCACTAATTTTTTTTGTTTTAGAAAATATAGTTATTTTTATTAAAGAATGGTTTATGTTAACATGTCATGAGTTGTTTCATTTTTACATAAATTAAGAAGTATTTTTTTTTATTTCTCAGTTTTAAATACTAACACAGTAACTAATGTTAGATATAACTCACATAAGCAAAAGCTCTTTGGGGTTCTCAATAATGTTTTTTACTATAAAGGAGAACAAAAAGTTTGAGCACTGGCGCTCTAAAACTGTTACTGCTTCTAATGATTGTATCTCGTTTCGGGAAGACAAAAGAATCATACTCCATGTTTTCCTTCTTCCTGGCTTCGTGACTTGAGATCATGTAAAAGTAAAAAATACTAGCTATTGGTCAAAGGAAATCAATGGGTCTAAGCAAAAATAAAGTAGTGACTCCTGCCATTTTGTCAATCAAATATATTTAAATGCTTCCTCCCACATGTGTGCATGATTGTATCATGACTTTAAATAATCTTTCTATACCAAGTAATTTAAAGCAAATGATCCCTGCCTATATTTTTAAAAGTCAGGATCATGACCTTTATTTCATTGCTATATTTTGTTTTTAAATTTGTTCCTTGGTAGCACATAGCTCCTAAATCTGTTATTTTCTCTAAAACTTTTCTTCTTTTATCTGATCTAGCTCTCCTGTATGGAGTGCCAAATGGTGTTTGTTTTTTTAGTTTGGACTTAGAACACATAACCACCATTTCTGTTCAGGAAAGCCAGACAACAATTAATGAGAATCTTTATATAATTAGTACTTTGCTAAACCAACACTTGTCAGTTCATCTCATTTGTTATTGTTATTGTGTTGCTATTTTCAATGTCATTTTCTTCCCAAAGCAATGGAGCTTCTAAATTGGGTTAGATTAGGGGGGGACATCAATATTTTCTATTGATCCCAAACAATGCATTCTTAGGTATGTTCCAAAACTACTATATGAAATACTTGTATCTTTGCCTTCAAACTCAGCTTATACAAGATATAGTATCTTCCTCCTCAGGGATATAGTATGTTTTCCCTGGGATCATTCAAGGCTGAGTATGGTCCTCTATCATTCTCTCATTTCTCCTCTCACGCTCATTACCTTCCCTCTCCTTCATTATTCTCCCCTCCTCTCCTTCATTTTTATTTTCCTCTCATCCCCACCCTACACAACCAAGTAATAAGTATTTCTTGAGCATCTGTTTGGAAATCATGGAATGGGCGAGGGTATGGATTCTACTGCCAAATGCCTGAGTCTGAATCCCAACTCCACAATGTCCAGTTGTGACACTGTACAAATATCTTAGCCTCTTTATGCCTCAGTGTTCTCATTTGCAAAACAAGTGTTATATGAGTCACCTTATGGAGCTGCTGGAAGATTAAATGAGTTAATAAGTATAAGGTGCTTTTAACAGTTCTTGGAATATAGTAAGTGCTTGGGACATATACAATATTATCTACATGTGATAATTGTCTACCGTAAGGAATGAACCAGACCTGGTAAAGCATGAGCAAAAGCAATTTGGTTTTTTTCTCACTGTTGTCCTAGCAAATCAACTCTGTGTAGCCATTCTTCTTCTCCATGAGTAAAATTTCAGGCCATTCCCATAGCTTTTCCAGTCACTCTTAGGTAAGGAAAAGACCAAAATTTTAACTCATCCAATTTTAAACTTCTTCCCTCCCCCAACTTGGACCTTAGAGATCTATAATTTATAAATAGAGGGGGTAGGGACACTTGTTAGTTTCTTCTCTTTTTCTTGTTCTTTTCCAACCAGCTAGATGCTGTCTGTGGTCCTTCTAGTGTTGAGATGTGAGGGTGATGGTGGGAAGAAAGAGAAGAGATGGAAGGTTAAGAAAGGTCTCCCCAAACTGATACAGTTGTGGTCTGGCATCCATGATCTCTGGGTGAGGCAGGTTACAAATGCCTATTGTTCTTTTCCTGTGGGACGTTGTTGATGGCTCTACGAGACCTTTCCATTGCAGGGCAGTTCTTTCCCTCCAGGTGCCCTGAGAAGTCAATGGCTCCTCAGCTGCCTGCCGTCACCTCCCTCAAGTTCTGCTCCATGTGATGCTGAGAGGGTATCACCCGGGCAGGAACACTCCTGCAAAGGGACCTCTTCAGGGAGACTCGTGTCTGGTTCCCTTCTGCACAGTCCATCTTGGGCCCCTGAGAAATGTGTGCCCTTGTCCAGCTGTTATTTGAGAGCAACTGAGGCTCTCTCTGCTCCCTCACCTGCTCCAACCATCTTTCAATTTTTCATGAGCCTTACATTAGTCTCTGTTTCCCCAAATTGCTAAGTGACACATATCGAACACTACAATTGTGACCTTGAACTATCCATCTCCTGTTACTTGGCTTGAGTAAAAATAAGAACTCCTTCCCTTCTCCAGTGAAGTAGGAAAGGAGAAAAGCTAGAGCACCCTGGCAACTTTTTGTCTTAACCTAACAGAAAAATGGGCAAAGGATATGAATGGGCTCTTCATAGAAGAGGAAAACCGACTGGCATATGAAGAGAAGCTTGACTATACCAGTGAACAGAGAAAGACAAATTAAACCAAACTTAAGATATAATCTTTACACTCCAGCTCAGTAAAAGTTAAAAATATAGATTTGGTAAAGACATTAGGAAAACATATACGCTTCCATTGTTTGTGTGAGTAAAAATTGATGGGGTCTTTGAGGAGAGTGATTTTGCAGTATATATTAAAATAAAAAATCTATGTACCTTTTGACCCCATCAGACCTGCTTCCAAGTATCTGTCCTTGAGAAACACCAGCAAAAATACCTAAATATCCAAGTGCTAGAAGGTTAATTACTGTGTTATTTATAATTTTCAAAAACTTGAACATCCGTCAAAAAGGGAATAGCAAAATAAATTATGATACATCCAACAAAATGGATGCAAGAGTTAACTAGAATAAGCTGAAGTGATATGTGGGAAAGTTTTCAAAGACATATTGTTAAGTAAAAAAAAGCACTGTAAAAAATTTATATTAATGATACATTTATGTAAGAATGGAGAAAACCACAGATGTCTCTTTGTATAGATATATTCATGTTTGTAAATGCATAGAAAAAAAGGTCACATCATTTCAAACTGATGGATGATTATTTTTGCAAAGGGATCTGGGACTGGGGAGAGCAGGCTCAGATAGGACTTCAACATTTATAACGAAAGTATGTTACATGTGTGATTACACATAATTTATAAAATAATTTAAAATATAATAATATAAGTGGAGTTATTGGAGGTGATCTTTAGGATTCATCTCAAATATAGCCCTCTATATTTATACTGATAGTTGAATTTACTAATCCTCAGAAGAGCCTATGACAGCATTTACTACCATTAAACAATATGTATCATATTTAAGATAATTCTGTGTGATAACTGCTCACATCTAAATGTCTGTTCAAACAGTAATTATGAAGTCTTTGCTATGGTTGTGAGTTTCTAAGATGACACTTAGAATTATGCCTTTCAGATAATAAACCAGACAAATTTCAATACACAACACCTTCACTTTATTATAATAATAATTAGCCAATTCCAGCTGATATGGTAATATGTGTAAAGTGAACTGCAATTAATATTCTCTGAGGAGTAAATATTTCAGTTCTGGCAGTTGGTTCTATACAATTTAAATTGCATTTCACTTTTAGGTAACTATATATAAGCTATTCTCTACTGAAGTATAGTTTAAAACATATTTTCCTCTGTGGTGTTTATTTTTAAATCATAATTCGTATGTGTGTTGTTGAATCACATAATTTAGTAAAGATTATTATAATTCTGAAAATAGTAAATATAAATGTTGGAACTATAAACATAACTACATGAATGTTACTTCATTATTTTCCCTATTTAGTACTTACATGAAAATGGGATTGTCCATCGTGATCTCAAACCAGAGAATCTTCTCTATGCAACTCCAGCCCCAGATGCACCACTCAAAATCGGTGAGAACATTTCCTGATGTCTTAAGACCTCTTTTCTCAGAGTAGAAGAAATTTATTTCATAGAATTTTAAAATATTGCTCCATCCAGTTTTGCCTCCATTCAATTTTCTTGAATATTTGGTGTCTGTGAAGGAATAATGCATAGTTTTAGAAGTATGTGCTCTTTCCTGGAATATTAACCTGGAAATTAGCACCTAGAATGGGTGCCCCGTTGCTGGACACACAAAGGAATGACAGCTCTTAGAAATGATAGGGACTTCAGGAGGTGACCTTGTATTTTGCAGATAAGTTTATAAAGAAGAAAACCACAGATAACATTTCTTTTTTGATTATTTTTATTCCACTAGTTAGTTGGAGCTTAATTTTAGATAACCAAGAACTTTTACACAAAATGCTTAGTACATCTTAGTGACTTTAGGCTCTGAGTCACTTGTTTATATGAACAGAGATAAATTGAGATCTGTACTTCCCAAAGCACACCCCACGGAACACTCATTCCTCGGCAGAGTGAACAAAGGTGGATAACTCCCTTTGGGGGAGGTGGGAGTGGTTTTCGGAGGTGCGAAGGTTGGTCAAATAAGATAGGAAATGCCAACTTAAAGTTAAACACGATTTTATTTCTGCAAGACCTCCCAGAATTTTCAAAATGCTAATGTGTAGACTGACATCTTATATAGTGTACCGTGAGGCTTTTCCCCAAACCTTATCTGACTCTGGAAACTTCTTTTTTCCCTCAGTACATATTCTAAAGAACTACAAAGGTGAACTTTAGGAAATTCTGATCTATTCAAAGAGATATTTAAATCAGCATTTTAGAAAAAATTATATAAATGTTACTTTCCATGTCCGTTCATTTGCAAAATAAAAAAAAAATTATTTTGGATGCATTCTCCTTAGCAGAATCTGTATTAAATCCTCTGAAGGGCATCGCTCTTCTGCTGCTATCCTTTATAATGCTAATCTGATAAGTTCACTGCATTTATAAGTGTTAACACCTTTGAAAATTAAGTTATACATATCGTGGAAGAGCTCAGACAACATAATGTGCTTTATGAATGCAAGAACCCAAGGAAAAAATACTGAAGTCCTGCTGGGCCGCCAGCTTGTTCTCATAATCACTCCTGAAAGCCACTGGGCAGCAGGGAGGCTTCCGTTTCCTTTGACATCACTTTCAAAGATTTTATCCTTAAAGAAAGTTCTTTAAATGGATAGATAGATACTAATTTAGGCAAGAGAGCCTTTCTTTCTGAAGGACTTCCTGCTGCTCTCCCTGATAAGGATCAGCACCTCAGTGGAAATGTGGGTTTATCTTTGAGGTCGAAAATGGCATCAATTCTGCACCTGCCTCTCTTGAAGAATGGCCTTGAACGGTTTCCTGATGTTTTCCGAGTGTGAGAGATGTAGCCCAGCAAATAGACCATAATGGTAGCAATTTGTGATAATGTTTTATCTAGGTAATATTCTGAGGGATAAAGAAAAAGGATTTTTGCAAAAAAAAGTTTTATATTCCTTATATGAGGGTAATTCTTATCTGTCACTAGGGAATGACATTATTTATTTTGAAGCAGAATAAACCTTTTAATATTTCTTTCATTTCTTTGACATTTATGAAAGTCTAATTTTTTATTTTGATTTCTCCCAATGGATTAAAAGTTCTGAATCATATCATTAATTCTATATTGTCATTTAGAGTTACTGTTTCATAAATCTCAGAATTAATATTAAACAAAAATATTTCTATTGCAACTATTACTTCAAGAAGAAATAGCTTACTTGCTAAAAGCTGGAAATTATAGAGAAGAGCATAAAATGTATTTGGGAGTCATATTTTTCTCCAATTTAAAGCAAGACTTGAATTATTATTATTTTTTTTAGTTTCTTCTCCCAGGTGACTGGTCTCATCTACATCCACCGCATTATCAAATACAAAAAGAAACACACACATAAATAAGTGTTAGTTTTATTTTGAATTACAGAAGTATTCTGTCATCTTACAAAAGCTGAGAAAAGACTTGCTTCATTCAATTTTCTTCTTGTGTTGTTAGCTGATTTTGGACTCTCTAAAATTGTGGAACATCAAGTGCTCATGAAGACAGTATGTGGAACCCCAGGGTACTGCGGTATGCTCTTTAATACTCATATTTTACATTTACTGTCATTTGAAATCTATTTTTATTTAACGATCTGATTTTTTTAAGTCCTAATATCTCTGTTTAAAATGCTTACAATTTGATGCGAGTCTCCATGAGGAGGCATATATGAGTGATACTCAGACCACCTCTTGTTCTGCATGAGGGGTTCAGTGATGTCAGTTTTAAGGCACCCCTGTTAGAACAGCAGGAGAGAGGAGGCCTCAGGGAGGAAGGACTGGGTGCTCTGTACCTGCCTTTGGGCAGTAGCTACTCTTGGACCCACTCAGGACTAGAAAGACAGTCATCAGGGAAGAGGGCAAGGAAACGGTTTTGTTTGTGGTTGGAATTAAAGCCACGAGCGCTTTGTTACTTTCCTTGTTTGCTTTCACTTGGGAGGGTGTGTGAGCAGAGCAAGTGCCATTAATTCGGGTGGCATATAGGACAACAGTGAGAGTGGGTAGTCCCTAGTTCTCATTGATGGCACTGGCCTCACCTCACTAAGATAAGGGCTTCAGGTGGAGTTTCCCCACCAGAGTCCCCCAGTCTCTGGAGATGGACTGTGTGACAGTCCTCACATCCTCTTGCCTGGTCTCCCAGAGTGGGCTGAAGGTGCACTGTGTACGGTCCACAGTCAAGAGACAGAACAATAGCTTTTGGTCCATGCCAGCATGAAGCTCACCCTTTTTTCCTTGATGGCTGAATTAACCTGGCAACAACCTAAAAGCCAATGTAGCTTGCAAAAATTATCAAGAATTCCTAAAGTTTTTGTGACTAATGAATATGTCACAAATCAATTAAGATCCTAATCTGGATTATAAAGAAAAAAGACCAGATTTCAAGTCATCAGTCAAAGATTAGCCATCATTTTCTCTTAGGATCATCATCTTTTTATGAAAATTTTTCCTCACTCACTCGTCTCTTCAGCAAAATCTTCTACTTTATATGCAAGCCAGCACTTGGCACCAGAGAGATGCATTTCCTGCCCCTTCCCCAACCTCAGGGGCTCACAATCTATGGGGGAACAGACATGTAAATCAAAAAAGTATAGCACCTTAAGAAATGCCATGTTATATGTATGGAAAAGCCATTATGGAAACATAGGAGAAGGGTGGGATTTGGAGTTACCTGTCTTATTCTTCTATGGCATTTATATTTGTTAGTCACCCCTGTTTCAGAAATAGACACATAAGAACTACATAACTAACTCATTTTAGCAACTCTTCAATTCATAGAAATCAGACTGGAGAATTGCAGTAAGATATCCACTGAAGCAATTGTATGATTAAATTCACAGAATGTTAGTGCTGGAAGAAACTGTAAAGTTCATTTACCAGCATTCTCATTCACTAAAGTCCAAACACTATGACATCCCCAAGATTCCACATCTAGTTGTTAGTGGATCAGGGATGAGAATCTGGGTTTCCAACGGCCTAAAAACAATTATAGAATTTCCTCTTTAAAAAAGCAATGTAGGGGCCAGTCCGGTGGCACAGTGGTTAAGTGCGCGCTCTTTGCTGCAGCGGCCTGGGGTTCTCAGGTTCAGATCCTCGGTGCACACTGATGCATCTCTTGTCAAGCCATGCTGTGGCGGCGTCCCATATAAAGTAGAGGAAGATGGGCGTGGATGTTAGCCCAGGGCCAATCTTCCTCAGCAAAAAGAGGAGGATTGGCATTGGATGTTAGCTCAGGGCTAGTCTTCCTCACCAAAAAAAAAAAGCAATATAGGTAATCATATAGTTGTCCTTCATAGAATATTTATGTAATTGCTTTTGGATTAAAATATTTTCTGTTTTAATTTTTTAAACCTCAAAAGTATTACTTGGTCACTGTAAACAGTAAAAATCCAAATATGTGCAATCAATATTAATGGCCCCATGCATTCCTCCAATGCCTTTCTCCATGTTTCTATGTTCACATAAACATTTTATAATTTTGCTTTTCACTTGTTAGTTTCCATGGTGAATCTAAAATATTATTTCTATGCAGCTCAATTGTTCATAAATCCAATAATTACACAGAATTAAGTGTACCTATCTTTCTACTATTCTTTAGATTGTGCCAAATATTCTTGTTCTTCATCTTTAGCTCCTTAAGGACAAGAGTAGTTTATCATTTAGGAGTAAATTCAGAACACTCAAAATACGGCTTAAACAAGATAGAAGTTGATTTCTCTCATGTTAGAAGTCTACCATGAAGGCTAGAAGTCTGGATAGGCAGTCTTGGTGGGTCCACAGCTATGGCTCTGCTCTGCAGGTGTGGTGGATCTCAGGGCCAGGGATCCGGGTTTGTTTGGGGTTTTTTTTCGGTCTTACTCTGCTATTCCTTAGCATGCTTCCTCGTAGTCTAAAAGCAGTCATTACATCTGCATTCTACACAGTAGGAAGGAAAAAAGACTGAAATAGAGTGTAGCTTTTCACCGTTAAATAGACTACTCTGCTGAAGCCCCACATGTCACTTCCACTTATATCTTATTGACCAGTACTTAATCACAGCCTCCACATTGCCAGGAAAGCTGGCAATGTGTCCTTTGGCTAGACATGTTGCTGCCTCAGATGAATTGTGTTACTAAGCATGAGTATTGCATTAGACAACCCACTCTCTCTACCACAGACTTATGAGTAAGATTCCCATTCCTAGCAAAACATGTGAAAACCATTGCACTACACTATGTTCCCTATAGGCAGGCACTTGTTTTGTTTTGCTTTGTTTTTATATATTTTATTTTCCTTAGAACTGTTAGCTGGCAGCCTCTCCATGACCCTTCCCTTCCAATGGTGCCATATGCACTTTCCCTTTCTCTAATTCATATGTCCTTATTTGTCCTCCTCTTGGATTTCTTTCATGCCTCCAGATCTCCAAGACTATGGGGGAAAAAATAACCCTTAATTTAGTACCATGTGCCAAAGGTGTTGCCCATTTGGATCACTAATTGCTGACCAATTGATAGGAGCATTGAAAGATAATTGAGAAAAGAATGATAAAACAAATTAAGGATTTCTCACAAGAAGAAAGCTAATGGGCAATTTAGTAATCATTATCCAATACCAAATACTAAGTATGCCAAGGAGGTCAGTAGGTTGGAGCAATTCTCCGAGAACTGAGCAGCCCTGAAGTGGGAAGACTAGGAAGAGATTACACTAGTGATCTCCCAGAGTCCCTTCTGTGACTAAGAGACAGCAGCTTCCTGTCAAGGCATTAATAATAGTGATAAGAGCAGTTTTTTCTTACAGCATTACAGAATGGTCATTCTATGAATGAATGATTCATTCATTGATGAAATGAACGTTGAATGTCTAATAGACTCCATGTTAGGCACTGAGATTACAAGAGCGAACACAGTATGGTCTTAACCTTCAAGCATTTCATGGGCTATAAAAGAAGAAAGACCTGTAGGCTATAAATCAAAGTTTGTTGTGATAAGTTCTGTATGTATCTGAGCCAAAGGCTCAAGGATATGGAGGGGAGGGAGCAATCAATCCCGCCTAGAGAGGTCTTCGCAGAGGAGCGGCGTTTGAGCTGGACACTGAAGGATGAGTAGGAGTTCACCAAGTGGAGAGGTGGCTGCAAGGTATTCTTTGTCAGCAGGCACAGGCAGATAAATGTCACAGAGGAGTAGTAGCATCTGACAAGTTCAGGGACTGTTTGTTACTTTGTCACTTTGCATGACTGGAACATAGAGTTCTTGGTACAGAGGATACAAGTGGACTTGGAAAAGCTGGATGGACCGTATTTTAAAAGAATCTGTACATCAGGCTAAGAATTCAGACTTGCTTTGGTAGATAGTAGTGATCCAGCAAAGGTTCTTGATCAATTATATTTTTAAATCAAATCTGTATTTTATAAATATATTGATAATGACATTATGACAGATAGATTTGAAGGAGAAAAGAGACCAAAAGAAGACAAATTAGAAAGCCATTATAAATGTTCTTTCCTGTCCTTCTGACGTCAGAAATCTACACCCAGGTTGCTGTCACTCCATAAACAGCTTCTCAGCGGATAACGTATTTGATCTACTCCTAAATCCAATCTTTTTTTAAATATAAAAATTTATATTTTCCGTTTACTTTTTTTTTCCCTGCAGATATCCGTATCACCCTCAAGGCTATGTAATAGGGAAGGAGGGAATTGAGTGGTTGAACATGATCAAGATAATTCTTCCACGCTGGTGTGGGTGGAGGCTCACTTGGAAGGAGTAATTTGCTATATTATAAGGAAAGGAGGACAAAGCAGCAAGGAAGGCGGGGAGTGTGGGGGGTGGAGGGAAGAGGCAGGGATTGAGAGGAAAAATAAAAGTGCTTTGTGGGACTCTGAAGCACTAAACATATGTATGGAATTAACTTTATATAGGCTGAGGCAGGCTTGGAAGTCAAAAACAGGTGGATTCAATGTATTTAATTACAAGAGCAAGGTCCAAATTATACATAAATAAACATATATTTATTCATACCTACTCTTGACCTAAAGGAAATACACTAAAATATTACCTGAAAGTGGAAGTAGAGGAAGGGGCGGGATTTTAAGGATACACTTGTGTATAGTAATGCAGAAAACACTGGAAAAGCTGAGTTAGGGAAAAATGGAAGTCATAGTAACGCCAAGGCACAGGAAGTGAATGACCTAGAGTAGAGGAAAGATGCAAGGTTTTGAATTTTTTAAAAATTAATATAATAATGAATATTTTTATTCATCTGTCTTATAAACAATTACCATTTATAGGCAAGGCTAAAGCCCCCTTTAAGGATCACCCTCAGTTCTAGCCCTCTTTCCCCTCACCACGTATAACTACTGTCATCAGTTGGGTGTGTGTCCTTCTGAGGGTACTTAGGGGAGGAGGAACCTGTCCATTTGTAGAATGAGTTGGAAATGAGAACCAAGCAAGAAAGGTGGGGGGAGTCACTGTCATGATACAGAAAGCATGACTTTACACAGAGACTTTACATTTAACTTGAAAAAGCGTCTGAGGCCCATGTGATCGACGGAGAGGG